CCTCTCCGCGCCGCTCCTTCGGCTGTCCGAGAGCAAAGAGCTGAGAAATTACCGACGGCCATGGCGACGTCAAAGCGGCTCGCATTGCTGGGATTCCTCGTCTTGCTTTTAGTCGGAGGCTTGATGTGGTTGGGATGCCAGAAATACGACGGAGTAAGGTACATTGTGCTTTCATTTTATAGTGCTTCGATTTTGATGTATGGATGTTTAGATATGCTAATTCAAGATTCAGATCATTCTATTCTTTTCTAGTGACGAAGTAGATGATCTGTTTGTAGTCTCCGGGTTTTTCTTCTTCAATCGATGGCGATTTATTTCTCTTTTAATTCTTGGAATTTTCTAGGAAATGTAGGAATACTGAGATTTCGTGCTATCCTGCGTCCAAGCTGAGGAAGCGCAGCAAATCGGAAGGCTGTTTCAATAGCTTTTCTTTGCTGCAAAATTGAAATTGCCGACCTTTGTTATTTGTTAAATCAAATCTTCTTATAATGAATAAATTTGCATAAATTATTTATTAATAAACCTATTAATTTGAAGAATTGCCCTTTAGTTAATTTTCTTTAATGTTCGTGTTTGCAGTAAAAAAGCTGACAATGTGCATGGCCTGAAAGACTGTCAGGACTGCGATAAGAAAAAGGTTTCATGTATTTCCTATTAATCTTTCTGAACATATTAGTTAGGTTCCATTGAAGTTGTTTCTTTTGAGTTTTTTATGCCCCACTTCCATATATTGCATTTTGAATGCATACTCGTAAACATTAAATATAGAAACCTACATGGACACATTGTTTTAATCCTCCGTGTTCTCCAAAACTTGCAATAAGAATGCATAAATGGTAGTCATTATATACAGATACTAATAATTTGTACATATTTCAGCAAGCACCTGTCAGCTTGTATACTAGTAAGCTCAATCATATGTAGTAGATAAGTGATATGGATGATGAATGGAATGTTTTTGAGATGATGAGAATCGGTTGGTGGATAAAAGCGGGGAAGCTTCTCTACAAATTCTCTAATGAGAAGGATTAAGATTTGGGGAGGCTTCTGCAGAAGTTATCACAAGCACCCTCTATTTTTAAATATGCTTTTTCATTCAATGGAAATAAAAATGAAGGAATTCAATCAAAATTCAACCAAAAAGAATAAATTTGGACCTTTTATAAAAAATCCCAGTTATGAAATAATCTACTTAAAAAAGTCATCCCTTTTGTTTCACAATAAAATAAATAAATCGATATTTTGTAGCCCGATTAAGGATTTTTTGGATATCGATGATAGCTTTGTAACAATGGTGCGACACATCAATAATGTTGTTGAAATATGATTTTATTGTTTCATGATACCAATGAGGTTTGAATGATTTTTTCGCCATAAATGGCATAGTAGCGTTTCTATATAAGCTAATCTACCCTGCTCTTTCCAGCTATGCTCTACATTTTCTGTCCATTCTTTCTTAATTGGTTATTCTGCTACTGTTATTTTGCTCTACTTACCGTCATTGTCAACATATTTCTTTTTGGTTAGTAGTTACATCCATGTTTTACTGTTGAATTAACAGGAAAATGATGTCTCAATGGAAAACTTTGCTGAGGATGTTCAATATGTAAATTCAGATGAAGTAAATGGAGTTTCTCTCTCTCCTCGTGAACTATGATGAATTATGCATGCTCTAAATTTTTTTTTTTCTGTAAATTTCATTTCTTTCAGGGAATTGATATTACGGTGGCATATACCGATGTTTCTGGTGATGTCCGTACACATAGAATCAATTCAAGAGATTTATCTTCTTCCTGGGTGTGGGAGAATCCTGGTACAATAGAAAAAGTGAAAGTGGTACTTTTTTAACCTTTTTGTATCGGATCAATCATTTTGAGAAATATGAGAAAGAGCGATCATGCCAAAAGAGAGATGCATATTATCTTCTTCCTGGGTGTGGGAGAATCCTGGTACAACAGAAAAAACGAAAGTGGTACTTTTTTGACCTCTTTGTATTGGATCAATCATTTTGAGAAATATGAGAAAGAGCAATGATGCCAAAAAAGAGATGCATATGAAGCTGTTCCTTGAGCATACAAAAGCAGGAGAAACTTATTTTTCAAATATGCATGGATGAAATATTTAGGCATTTAGCTATGACAACTCTCTATTCTGTAAATTCTATTTGTTATAACGTTGGAAACTACAATTTATCTCTTCAAGCTTGTTATGGTGTTACTTTAATATGTTTGTTTTGGAGAAAACTAATGTTTGGCTCAAATTCTTAGAGAGATTGGTCACCTCAGCAAATTATGAGCAAATCAAAAAATGATATTCGGCCATTTGTTGATCAAATCCAACAAACCAATTCTGTCACCCCCTTAAAGCTTAAAAGACAGGTGAAGCTCAACGCTTGGTGTTAATCCTTTTTCTATTTTACGGTTTTTTATTTCTAATGCTTCTTTCCTACAGCAATTGAAACAAAGAAGGAGAGAAAAGAGAGCTGCAGAGCTGATCAATATGAGTGAAGAAACTGAACTTGAGATTCAGGCTACAGCTATTAAGCATTCAAAAGAGTTCAACAGCCCAACAAGACGAAAATACACTATATGGAGAATAGAATATCAGAATCCAAACTCTGACTCCATTTTGAAGCTCATGAAAGATCAGATCATAATGGCGAAAGTATATGCCAGCATAGCTCATTCCATGAAAAAGTTGGATCTTTATGAATCTTTGGTTAAACACATTAGAGAAAGCCAACACTCCATTGAAGATGCAAGTACAGATACTGATCTGCAGCAAGGTGCTCTCGAATACGCTAAAACAATGGGCCGTGCTTTATCCATTGCTAAAGATGTGCTCTACGAATGTGATTTGGTGGATCAAAAGCTTCGAGTCATGATTCAGTCTACGGAAAAAAGCATTAATACGATTAAAAAACAAAGCACATTCTTGATACAACATGCTGCAAAGACATTTCCCAGACCACTCCATTGCTTTCCCTTACACTTAACCACTGATTACTACTTGCATGGACACCACAGCAAACAACTCTCATCAGATAATAGCAAGCTTAGTGATGCATCCCTTTTCCATTATGCTATATTCTCAGATAATGTACTTGCAACCTCTGTGGTTGTGAACTCAACAGTAGTACATGCAAAGGAACCCCAGAAACACGTGTTTCACATAGTTACTGATAGACTGAATTTTGCTGCCATGAGAATGTGGTTCATTAAACATCCTCATTTACCTGCAACATTAGAAGTGCAAAACATCGATGAATTCAAGTGGCTTAACTCATCTTACTGTGCAGTTCTTCGCCAGCTTGAATCTGCGAGGATCAAAGAATACTACTTCAAAGCCAATCATCCCTCGTCACTTTCTACCGAGAATGAAAATCTTAAGTATAGGAATCCAAAGTACTTGTCCATGCTTAACCATCTTCGGTTTTACATGCCTGAGGTTTATCCAAAGCTTGATAAGATACTGTTCCTTGATGATGACATAGTTGTGCAGAAGGATTTGACGCCCATTTGGTCTATTGATATGAAAGGGATGGTGAATGGTGCAGTGGAGACCTGCAAAGAGAGTTTTCATAGGTTTGATACCTACCTGAATTTTTCAAACCCGAAGATTTCAAATAACTTTGACCCGCAGGCTTGTGGTTGGGCGTTCGGCATGAACCTTTTTGACTTGAAGGAATGGAAGAGGCGCAATATTACCGGAATATATCACTACTGGCAAAACTTGGTAAAAAAGAAATGCTGTTCCTTATTGGATCTATTAGCATATTTTAATATTTATATGGTATGGGTAAATTTTATGAAGGTTATTTTTTTCTCTTTTTATTTATTTATTGCAGAATGAGGATCGAAAGCTGTGGAAGCTGGGCTCACTGCCTCCAGGCCTGATCACATTTTACAACCTAACATATCCTCTTGATCGAAGATGGCATGTTCTTGGGCTGGGCTATGATCCTGCTGTTAACTCCATAGAGATTGAGAACGCTGCAGTCATTCATTATAATGGCAACTATAAGCCATGGCTTGATCTTGCTGTCGTCAAATACAAGCCATACTGGTCCAAATTTGTCAACTTTGATGACCCATACGTACAGTTCTGCTCCATCCCCCATTGATTCTTTATTCTTTCTTTTCGCCATTTGGCGAAGCTTTTCTTTTTGATTTGGAGATTTACATACATACCAAATAATCCTTATGTATTTACATATCGAATATTATGAAATATGTGTATTTCACTTTAGATGAGTTTGTATTAGCATTGTTATTAATGAGATTTAAAGTTGAGTGTTATAAGTAAATATAAACATTCAGAGTCAAATATGTAAATTTGTAAGATATCTCTTCTTTCATTTGAAAGAGCTTGTTTTTTTTATTATTGCAGATGCCTTGTCAAAATTAGTTCCAATGCTTTTATAAGAAAAAAAGGTTTTTAAAATGTGTGATATTGTAAGTTTTCTACTCTTTTGAAAGGTTTGGTAGATCTTTTTATCTTTGTTGTTCATGATTGTGTACATCACTTTAAACTCTAATTAAAATCACAATTATGTTGTGTATATCTTCTTTCAATTTTGTGTGTTTCACATATTTGTGTATAAACTTTAAACTCAAGTTAAAATATGCATGCATAGTTGGTATGAATGCTCTTTAAAGCATTCTTCTAAATTCTATGTCAGTCCTCCAAAACTGAAATTAGGGGTGATTTGTACATAGAAGTGCATATGGTTTATTATTATTAGTTTCACATATTTGTGTATAAACTTTAAACTCAAGTGTGCATATGGTTTATTATTATTGATGTTCTTTGATTTTGGTGCTATATTTAGCTGTGTATAAACTCTTGAAATTTGAATGGAGGGTTGTATATGATTTCGTACAATTATGTGTTTTTATTTGGAATGTTTACATACAACTCACTCGATTCCTATGTATTTATATATTTAAAATCTGCACTTCAGTTTTTACATATATATCAGCTTTCCTTGCTGTATTTTGCCTTTTAAAAGTTAAAAAAAAATGATATTTTTATGTCATGCGAAAGATTTGGGAGGTATAAATGTTAAAAAAATAAAATAAAATAAAGTTTAGTTGTTAGATATGTAAATACAAAGAAATTTGGCGGTATGTATGTAAATGCCCCTTTTTTAATATTTATATATAGCATTTTAAGCTTACATATTGTGTTGTGTACAGGTGTTTTTTAAGAATTATACAAGGAACAAATTTATGGCTAGTTATTTTGGAGAAATTGTTTTCATTTTTGTGTTGTGTATAATTATGGACAATCCTTTCAAAGTAAATTAAGATTTGTGTACCATTCTATTCAATTTTTTTTTGTAGATTCTTTCATTTTTTATTTTAAATGTAGATTTGTGTGGTCATTTAAATTCAATTCAGGGATTGTCCTTTGTATATGTGTATTTTGGCGTGTATTTTGGTTGAGTTTTAGATTTAGTAAATTAATTTAATATAACAAAAGCACTTCATTTTTTTGTTTTGTTCAAACTAAGGGTCCATTTGGGGCAGCTTATAATTGCGGCCGCGTTTTCAAAACGCAGCCGTCCTGTTTGATAAACAGGCTCGGATTGCGTTTTGAAAACAACTTATTTTATTTCTTGATAAACGCCAGCCACTGTAACAACCCTGCGGTCGGCGTTTTTAATTTAGCGTTTGAAGATTATTCCTTCGATGTCCTTCTCCTCTCCGTTTCATTGCTCAATCTCATGCAGCACTCGAAGCATTCTCATCCATTCCACCATTCGTCGTCCGCAGCTCGATCGAAGTCCCCACGAGCCAGTTTAACTTGCCTTTAGTGCAATCCGGGAAGCAAGCTAGCAATACTCGCAATCCCTAGCCGCTCTCTGCTTCCTTCGACATTCCTAATAGCATAAGCAATCACGAATCCGCCCTCTCTGCCCTACATTGGCAAATCCGCCCTCTCCTCCCTTTCTACCTTCGGTATTCACTGTTTCTTTTTCTTACATTGGCGTATGGCTATTGATACAGTTTTTCAGTTGCACTTTTTTCGCAATAGTGAATTGGACTTGATGGAGTAGTTCGCCACTTGCTGTGATTTTTGTTCTTTCAAATTGAGATTTGTTAGAGTTTTCTGCAGTCAACCTTGAGTTCTGCAAAAGCTTTGTTTTCTGGGAGAAAGTTTCTGATTTGGAATTCTATCAGATTGACCTATAAGAGCTACTTGAGAGCTTTAATTGTATGTCTTTGACCACTAGTTGCCATATATTGTTTCTTACATCGTAAATTTTTATGGATATTGCATGCTTTGAAACTTATGCTTCGACATTTAATCAATCTCAGATGGTAGTTGTAACACAATTGGTCTGAATTTGGTCTGAATTGATCGGCTTGCAAGCCTAATGCTGTTTCAAATGCCTTAGCATCTTTCAATACTAAAATTTAGAGTTTTTCTTTTTGTAGTTCCACCAATCCCATTGCTAGGGACGGAGAAGTTGAACATGGAACAACACGGACTTTACCAATGTTTTTAATCTTTTCTTCTTTTTAGAGAGGGAGTTAGTCATTATGTTTATGCATTGGTAGCCAAAGACAATAAAACCTTCATTGTTTTTGGAGGAAGAAATGCATTGGTAGCCAAAGACAATAAAACCTTCATTGTTTTTGGAGGAAGAAATGCATTGGTAGCCAAAGACAATAAAACCTTCATTGTTTTTGGAGGAAGAAATGCAGACGTGTCAAAATCAATGATATTGTGTTTCTGAAATCCAGATAAATTTTGTTGGTTAAGATGTCCTTTGTTTCAAATTAGCGAGTACTATGTTTCTTTCTCTCTTATAGCTATAGGCTTGATGGATGGGTTAGATGTTTCATCAAATTGCTGTCTGAAGTCCTGAATAGGAGCCATTCTAATTAATACATTTTAAATCATTTCAGCACTTAGTTCTATTTCTATTCTAAAAGCTAGCAGACCATCTACATAACGAGGCTGAGATATAGGACATGTTGGCAATTTAGCTACTTGAATTTATTTCTATGCGACAATTGGTTGATATCTTACCTATACATGAAAAAGGTGCATTTCACTTTTTAGAAGTTAAAAGTGGTGTTTAATTTTATTTGTGATATGAAAGATTTGTGCTGTATAAATGCAATAGGAGTTAGATAAGTAAATACATAAGAATTGTGACGTATGTAACTGCCCCTGGATAATATTCTTTTCAAATATAACATAATATAGTTGGAAAAAGCACAAATTAGCAATAAAGAATACTGGCATGTAAAGTCATATTTTGCTCGAGCATAGAAGAAATAGTTTCCTTTCTGTTATTGACACCTAATTAGTGTTGCCATTTTATGTTTTCTTTTATTAGCTTCGATTTGAGTTAGCTTGCAATGTATGTCTGGAAAATTTTAACTTCCAATTAGTGTATTTCTAGTCACCACACATTGATATTTCTTGTGTAAATGTGATTAACTTGGACAAGTCTCTCCTAGAATTTATTTGCTTTGAAGGGAACTATTACAAATAATTCTACATTCCCCATTTGATCGCTTCTGAACTTGCTGCCTGAAATGCACATTTTCAATACCTGTTTCGATCATGTGGATATTATATGAGTAAATATAAGGAATTAGTTATTAAAAATATAAATAAATAAGAATATGAAATATCCAAGTAAATCTTCTGTTTCATATAATGCGGCCAGTTTGAATGAGCTAAGAAAATGGAATGAACAATATGGAAGTTTGGAGTGTTGTGTGTGTAAATATTGTAAATAGGTAAGAATTGTGTGTGGTGTAAATGCCCCACATAGCAAATAGTTTTTGTGTATTTACATATTTTACATCTATACTTTCATATTTTTTTATAGTATTTTGGTGTCTTAAATCTATACATGAAAACCAAAAAATGATCATTTATCCAAAAACAGCTGCAAATCAACTGTTTTCCAAATGCAGAAACCAAACAACTACATAGCTTATCCAAACCAGAGGCAGAATGGCCATTTATCCAGAAACAGTGGCAAAACAGATATTTTCCAAACACACAAACTAAACAGTCAGCCAGTTTATCCGGATCAGCTGTTTATCAACAGTTTATCAAGGATAAGCTGCTTATCTAAATAAGCTGCAGCTGCTCCAAACAGACCCTAAAGTTGGTGAGAGTTTGGAGCATTAATGATTTTGATTTTTTTTAATTGTTCAAGCGAGAAGTGGCACACTATTCAAAAATTAGTTAATAGATGAGGTGAAGCATGATAATCCATCCATTAAGAGGATGAGTATGAGCTATTTCAACATTTTCTTAATAAAATTAAGAATATTGTTTGTTACAGGTAATGTCACTGAAAATATTGGAGTATATAAAATTATATTTGAATGACTTGATGATATAATTTTTTCGTATCTCTTTTGTGGTTTGAGTGAAATGAATGATGTTAAACTAAAAAATACCAACGATAAGGATAAACATGCAAAGGTATATGGGAGGAATAATTTTTATGATGATCATTAGAATTTCGATAATAATATTTCAGATGATTATGAAGAGTTTATCAGTAGTGATTACAACATTCATGAAGATGAGTAATTTAAAAGCAATGTTGATCCTTCTGTTGAATTCACATGTATAAGAAATAAAAGTAAGAAGAAGATTAGATAATGTTTTCAAATATTAAGTGAAATGTTAAAAAGAAAATATTATGATAGTGACTGTATGAATTCCAATGATGAAGCAAGTGTTCATATCAGTGGTGAAGTTGATCTCATTAAGTGACCAATCTTCAACCTTATGACAGACTTTTAATAATATAATCTTGAACCGGAAATGCTATTTAGTTTTAAAGATGAATTTAAAGAAATTGAGCAAAATTGGTTGATTGCTAGAGGAAAGAGCAAAAGTTTTAAAAAAAATGATAAAAGGAGGTGCAAAATAATCTGTAGAAAACCTAATTGTTCATTTCATTTGTATATTTCAAAGCATAAGGAAGTCATTCATGACAAATAATAAAATTTCAAGAGCATACTTGTTCATGGAGTTGTTTTGACAAAGTTTTAACATCCACAATTATAACAAAAGAAAAAAAGAAAAAAGGATGAATCCACAGTGCAAGGCTAAATTTTTTAGAAGATAAATAATAGTTGAATTGAAGTTACATGTTTCAAAGTCGCAAGGTAGAGAAGCTATCAATAAGACATGTAAGTTGGTGCACATAAAGGAGGATAAACAATTTAAAAAGATATGAGATTATTGTTTAGAAATTATAAAAATAAATCCATGAACAACTATATCTATAAAAACAACATTAGACACATATTTATATGGTTGACTAAAATTTTTCAGGACGTATGCTTTCTTTGAAGAATGTAAAAAGGCTTATGCTTAGGTTGCAAAGCAATCATTGTGGTTAATGTCTATTTTTGTAAAAAGGCTTATGCTTAGTTTGGATGATAATAATAATATATTTCTAAAAGTATGGGCTATTGTTGAAAGTGAAACCAGAATAGTTGTGAGTGGTTTTGGGATTTGTTGGCTATAGATTTACATATATTTGATAATCAATACAATTTTATATTTATGTCAAATAAAAAAAAAGGGATTGATGACTGCTTTTGAGTATATTTTGCTTTATGTTACAAATTGATTTTATGTGTGACATCTACATAATAATTTTAAGTTGGCAGGATTCAAAGGAGTTACTTTGAAGAATGCTTTGTGGGCAAAAGTGAAGAGTATAATTAAAGAGTTAGTTAAATTAGATCATATGCTTATAGGTGGTTGGCTAAAAACAAGTGAGTGGTCTCTACCACAAGTTAATTGAATCTCTAAATGTTATACATTGGTTAAGAGTATGTGTGAATACGTCAACTCTATCATCTTTATGATAAGATAGTTTCATTCAATAAATATATATGAATATGAGAATCATATTGGAGTGAAGGATGATGATGAGAACTATCATAGCATAATAATGCAATGAACATAATATGTTGTCGACTTAAATGATTTGTCATGTATTTCTAGAAAATGTGAACTAACTGGCTTGTCTTGTTGTTATGCCTATGGTGCAATAAATATGAGTAAGCTTCACCATTATCATTTTGTCCGTAATTATTATATTGTTGATATGTTTAAAAAAAACTTATGAGCTCAACATTATGCATGCCAATGATCCCAATGAATGATGTAAAATTAATAAAGCATATCTCTTTTCATTAAAGTATAATAAAGCTAAGAGAGACCGACCACCAAAGTTAAAGAAAAGGATTACATGAACAACAAAATGACTCATAAAAAAGAATCTTAAGTAGGGCAACCATGGCTTTACCTTATAACAAATGCAGAAAAAGTGGACACGAGAAGAAAAGTTGTGGTAAGATGAAAGAAAAGATTACGAAAGCTCAATTTGAGCAGACACTCTAAGGTGAGAAAATCTTACAATAACAGTTGTATACTGAAGAATCAAATGAGAGGATTACATTAATGATTATAATGAATTCATATGTTATTTAATTAAATAAAAAATATATACTCCAATTTTTTTTGTATTTATTTTTCTTTGGTATGCTCGTTTAATAGATATTGATCAGTATCATGGTTCACAAACAATAACAATATTAGAAATGTTGACACGAGGATCGATTAATAAAAAAATATTGGATTAAATACAAATTTTTAAGGTATTGCGATTTTTTTTTCTACTAATGTGATATTTTGTTTGTTAACATGTTTGCACTTCTAAGCGAAAGAAGGTTGGGTGGATGAAGTTTAGAGGTACTCAATAGTTTTGGAGTTCTTTTGTATAAGCTTTAGTTTATAAATTTGTATCATTAGAATTTTGGAGTTTTATAATTTTGCACTTAATGACAATAATGTTTTGCAGTGTGTAATCTGGACATAAATTTGTGACAATTTTAAAAATTGAGAATTTTTACTGCATTTAAAAAAATTATGGTGATTAGTCATTATTGTTGTTATTTACGCAACGTTATTTCAATTTCAATGTAGTGTTTACCTAGGTTTAGAGAGTGAATTTAGTGTTGAATTGTTTGAATTTAGTGTTGAGTTGTTTTCATCAATATTTACCAAGATTTAGCTTTGAATTTAACAAAAAATTTGATTTAGACTGTTAATTGTTTGGGACTATCCCGAATTGAATTGGACACTTCTAAATTGTTATTACATTCTGATGCATTAAATTGGAACTTCTAGATTGTGAAAAATTTTGATATGAAAAGCACATCTTAAAATTGTTTGGAAAATAGAAAGATATAGCAAAACAATATGACATGTTCAGGTTTTCACATATTACCGCAAAATGTTTTTACTTTTTGATTGATTGATTGATATAATCAATTTGGATTTTTGTCGGGTAGGTCTACTACGAAAGCTATGCATTTATTGAGAGGTTTGATGGAGAAGTTCAAAGATAATAAGGAGGATCTATATATGATTTTTTATGTTTTGGAGAAAGCTTACGATAATGTTCCAAGAGATATCCTTTGGAGTGTTCTTGATAAGAAATGTGTTGATATGACTTATATTCAAGTCATTAAAGATATGTATACAAGAACTGTTACTTGTGTTCGAACAGAAGGAAGATTGACCAAATATTTTTTTATTTCCGGCGTCTTCTTGTTGATTATTTGTACTTGAGAAGTTTGTATTTTTCTGGTTAGTGAGCTTTAGTTATGGATGGTCTCACTGGACACTTACATGAGGATGTACCTTGGTGTATGTTTTTTGCTGATGATATCCTTCTCATGGATAAGACAAGAGAAAAAGCTCAGAAAAAACTTGAATTATGGAGGTATACCATAGAGTTTAAAGGCTTTCATTTGAGTAGAACTAAAACTGAATACATGGAATGTAATTTTAGTAGTAGCTCTAGTGACTAAAATGTAACTATGGGTGATCAAATTATTAAAAGGTGTGAACGTTGTAGATATCTTGTGTCTAATGCTCAAAATGATGGTGATATTGATGGGGATGTTATTCTAGAATTCAAGTTGGTTGGTTGAAATGAAGGAATGCTTCGGGCCTACTAAGACTGAAAGAAAAATTGTATAAAATGGTGGTGAGACCTGCAATGCTCTTTGGTGCTGAATGTTGGCCTTTAAAAGCGAAGCATAAAACTAAGTGTTGTCGAGATGAGAACGATTAGGTGGATGAGTGGCTTTACACTTAGAGACAAAATGTGAAATGAATATATTCGTGATAGGATTGGTTTAGCTCCAGTGACAAACAAAATTAGAGAGAGTCCTCTTAGATGGTTTGGTCACATTAAACGTCGACCATTTGATGATCCGATTAAAAGAATAGATGTCTTAGATTCGACTTATGTTAAGAAAGGCAGAGGTAGACCTAAAATAAAATGGGTATATTATATAAAAAATGATCATAATTTATTAGAATTAAATGAAATTATGACACTAAATAGGACGCAATGTAGAAAAACAATTCATGTAGCCGACACCACTTAGTGGGATAAAGGTTTGTTGTTGTTCTTGATTGATTGATTGATATAATTAAAAGTCTAATGTTTAAAAAATGTTGGCAATAAACAAATTATTTTGATTATAAACTATGCATTATTAAAATTTTGAAATACCTATTACATAAAAATATTTATTCTAATCATTTAATGTACTCCTTTAGCTAAAATTTAATTTTGGATAAAGTTTGTAATTATTAAATATATTTTTTAATATATATATATATATATATATATATATGATCACATATATAGCATCCAAACTTAGGTTTTTTATATACGTGCCATCATACCAATGCATGAAAGTTGTTTTTCACTTTTTTTAAAAGCTAAAATTGTGAGAATTTTGTTGTTGTATGACAGATTTGGCTGGAATAAATGTAAAAAGTAAAGCATAGGTATTTGTAATGTAAATACACAGAAGTTGGATGGTATTCATGTAAACGGCGCTGAATTTAAATTGAAGAGCAGGACATCCTCAAACTTTCTTGCAGTGGGCTGCTATCCTCTGAATGCGCGTTCCAGTAAAAATCCATGCTTCATTTCTACTTGGAGAACTATCATCCAAGAATCAAATTTTTCTCCACTACTATAAATCAAAGATAGCTTGTTCCCTGCATTTTGAAATCTTTCCTCCATTCTTCAAGTCCTGCGCAGACTTTCAGTTAGTAAAAGAAGGAACTTTGGCACATGCCGATGCCATCAAAATGGGCTTTTGTTCCCACACTTCCACCAGCAACTCGATGATGAGCTTCTACCTGAAACTCGGCATGAAAGACTGTGCAAGGAATGCCTTCGATGAACTGCTATGGAAAGATTCAGTTTCTTGGAATGCTTTGATTCATGGCTTTTTAAGCCAGGGGGATTATCAGCTTGGTCTGGTTTTATTTACAGAAGCCAAGGAGTGTGGATTTGTGGCAAATTGTTCTACCTTGGTACTTGTTCTTCAGGCTTACTGGAAGTCAAGAGCTGTAACAGAAGGTCAGTGCTTTCATGGCTTCATTCTCAAGAGTGGGTTTACAGCTGACATCTCTGTTCAGAATTCCTTGCTGAGCTTCTATGGAAAGTCCAAGAATTTGGTATCTGCGCAGAAGCTATTTGATGAAATGCCTGAAAGAGATGTCATTACTTGGAGCTCACTGATATCTGGGTATGTTCAGACTGGTGCTTGGGCTAATGCGTTGCTGTTGTTCAGAGAAATGTTTGTGGAGAATGGAATTGAAATTGATGGTTTTGCTTTAGTTACTGCTCTTCAAGCTTGCAGTTTTGCCGTGCATACCAATTATGGAAGATCAGTGCATGTCCATGTGATCCAAAGAGGATTTGTGGCTAATTTGTTCATCAGCAACTCTCTGATTGATATGTATTCAAAATGCCTTGATATGAATTCTGCTTACTTGGTTTTCTTCCAATTAACTCAGCCAAACTTGGTCTCCTGGAATAGCCTCTTATCCGGTTTGATTGAGAATGAGAAACATATGGAAGCATTGCTATTGTTCGAATCAATGAATAAGGCTGGGATTGTCGGTGATCCATACACCGCCGTCATCCTCCTGCAGGCCTGCAAGCTGCTCGGATTGGAAGCTTTCTGCAGGTCCATCCATTCCGTAATCATCCGAAGACTGTTTAACTCGAACAATTTCGTGCTGAACTCATTACTAGATGCCTACACAAAATGCGGTCTTATGGAGCTCGCACTCAGACTCTTTAGCCAAATTCCAGCTCCAGATGTGATCTCATGGAGCACAATGATATCTGGTTTCGCACACTGCAGCAAACCTCACAAAGCCATCGCTTTCTTCACCCAGATGCAGCTGGAACAAGAAACACCGAATTCTGTAACTCTTTTGAGCCTCCTGGAAGCATGCTCTGCACTTGCAGACCTCAAGCTCTCCCAGTGCGTCCATGGCGTGGCAGCGAAGAACGGTTCGTCTAACGACTTATCAGTTTCGACCGCACTCGTACACGTATACGCGAAGTGCGGGAACCTGGATTCATCGAGACGAATCTTCAAAGAAATGGCCGAAAAGAACCTCCTTTCTTGGAATGCGATGATAGGCGCCCTTGGGATGAACGGCTGTGCAAGGGACGCCCTTTCTGCTCTGGAAGAAATGGAAGCGCAGAACGTGAAACCAAATGGTGTCACAATGCTCTCTTTGTTGTCCGCCTGCAGTCATGGAGGTTTGATGCAGGAAGGTCTCTTATTGTTTCAAAGGATGTCTAGGGATCTCTCTCTAAAGCCTGGCATGGAGCATTATTCATGCATTGTGGACATGTTGGCTAGAGCTGGAGATCTGGAGGGCGGCTTTAAGGTGATCGAGAGATTGTCAAAAGGAGGAGTGGAGGCCGGTCCGGCGGCTTGGGGCGCTCTGCTCAGTGCTTGCGAGAGATTCGGCCATTGTGATATCGGAAGAAATGTGGCGGCACGAGTTCTTGAGCTGGAGCCGTTGAGATCGGCTGGATATGCGCTTTCTTCGAGCCTGTTTGCGAAGGCGGGATTGAGGGAGGAGAAGGCGAGATTGAGGTTATTGATGAAGGAGAGGGGAGTGAGAGCTGTTAGTGGTTATAGTTTGGTGAACGTTGGGCAAGATGCCAAGAGGTTTGTTGCTTGGGATGAATCCCACCTTATGACTGAAGAGATTTATGCTATGATTGATCTCTTGCATTTTTGCATGCAATGGTGTGATGAAATTTATTTGTTTCATGAGCTAATAAGTTTTTCTTAAGCTGTTCATATTCAGTATATAGTTTTTCATTCTCTGTTTTTTTTTTTTTTTTTTAGCTGAAGTTGAACATCATTAGGCTTAAAATTCTATTATTTGCTTGAGGAAAAAAAAATTGGAGTTGTTGAATACTTTTAGGATGTAGGGTTTTGTATTGCTTGTGAGTTCTTGCACCCTGGCTAACATAATGTTTTTAGGTAAAAGGTATGGGAGAAAATGTTGAATGTGTTGCTAATGTGTGTGTCTTTCACTCTATATTTTTTTAGAATTTTTGGGTGGCTGGTAATAAACTCAAAAGAAAGGTTTTGTTTCTCGACAACGGAAGAGAGAGATTGTGTGTGTGTGGTTTTTAGAGAGAGAGAGAGAGTTTCAAAGGTCTTTTTCTTTCTAAAGAGATTGTGTGTGTGTGGTTTTTAGAGAGAGAGAGTTTCAAAGGTCTTTTTCTTTCTACATCCTCGATCCCGCCTGAAAGCTCCCTTTGGTCTCTCTTTTATACATGAGAGAAAATAAATATAAAATTACAATCCGTACAGTATTGTTACTATCAACTATTTCTCGGTGAAAAGATCGCGATGCGGGTGTCACACATCGTCATAAATAAAGATTAATGCATTTACTATGAGGTAATGATGTTTTTTTCTTTCTAACGGCTCGTTTGCTCTGAGCTAGCACGTCCCCTTAAGCCGATGAACTTAGTTTGACCACTTCTACAGATGAGCTTAGGTTGACTACTTCTGAATGTGGGCTTAGTTCAATCATCTCGGTAGGTGAGCTTAGCTTGACCACTTCAATACGTGGCCTTCGTTTGACCATTTCAGCATGTGACCTTAGTTCGATTACTTCGGCAGGTTGGCTTAGCTCAAGAATGATCTGATCTTCAGGTATGGGCCTCTAAAGTTCGTAAGACTTGTTGACCTTTATACTGTGCCCTTTAAAAAGTCTCGCTTAAGTATATCGTCATATTTGGGCTTACATTTAGTTTACCGATTCTTTTGGATCTTTGATTAGGTACTTCGAGCCGGACAAGAGAATCAAGATTCTCAATTTTGCATTATCACAAAAAATGTTCATTTCTTGTTAATTTATAGCGCGGTGGAAAAGATTTTCAAGGCACGTACACAATATGATTCATAACGAAATTTTTCTTAACCTAAGGGCACTTTGGTTATATTTTTTGTGGAATTAGATCGTTTTATGCTCATCTCTGAGTCAGGATTGACCTTTGTTTAGGGGCGATTTGTGCTACTCCTGCAGGGAGTAATCTCTTAAGCTTCCAGATGAGTGCGATCAGTTTGTCCTCAGAGGCCTTGGCTCTCCTAAAAGAAGTAGTTTATTATTATTTTTTTATTTTGACAGTTGAGACCTGATGATATCGGTCTTTGTTAAAAGGAAGGCTAACTTTTTGAGCTATACTACAATGAGAACTAGTTGTTTGAAGAAATTGAAGTAACAAGAGTAGGATTGAGACTTCCCAGTTATCAATAGCAATTTTGTCAGAGAATAAGAATCATGTTGAATTCCTCATGATTCTGGATGTGTGCCTTCCAAGCATCCATCCTAATGTTGCTATGTTGTCCAAAGAAAAGAGAGTTAATATTAAAAGATATCATTAATTATATCTTAATTTTGTTGGTTAGCAAATTTTAAGAGCATTCTCCATTCTAGCCTATAAAAAGGTATTTAGTGGGATCCCCAAGTTCCCATTTTGAAGAAGGAAAACTATGTTGTGATTTTTAAAAATTTTCTACTCCAGTGTTTTGCAATATAGACTCAAGGGACTTAGATCTATGGAGGAGGAATCACAAAAGAAGATCAAATATTTTAGGGAGTGAATTGCCACAAAGGAAGGTACTTCTCAGGGTCTCCTTGTAGAGGCCTTGAAAGTGTTAGATCTGTTAGTGGGTAAGTGGAGAAGGTTGCACTAGACGTCAGGACGCTGCTGCCTCCTTCTGAAATTTACCTTTCAGGAAAAAATTTTCCTTGATATGAATGAACCGGTAGAATTTCAGTCCTTTGACTTGTTTTGAGGGCAGAAGGAACTAGATTCCATGGATTTTACTAATGCTAGCTTCGTTGCTGAGAGCACTATGTTTCTTGATCGGATGTGCTTTCAAACTAATATGAATTTGCATGAATTGCCATATTTGACTTAAATGCATATTTGTTTGTTGTTCAATGGGTTGCTTTGGCATCTGCCTTTAGAGAATCTCTTTCAACTAACAATGCTCCTTCAAGTGGTCATATTGAAGAAGGCAAAGTTTCAGACCAAAAATGATGTCAGTCCGCTCCTCGAAGGTAATGCAACATTATTTTTCTTGATTGAAGTTTATTTCCTCACTGAGTACAATCTATTTTTGTTTTTAAAGCATGAGACGAAAATTGCGGAAGGCTCGAAATTGGGGTGATGGCAATGCTAAGCCCAAAATGAAGTCGGTCGCACCAGCTGCCAACCAAACTTCAGAAGGAGATGTTGTTCCACATCCTAAAGCAATATTACTCCAAATGAAGGTACTCTGAGGCTTGATGTATTAATTGGCAGGGAGCTTTGCTTGCACTAGAAACGATCCATACTATCAAGCAAGACGATTTGCATAATCACTTGGTCGCATTATAGGAAGTCTTGTTAGAGGTCGAGGAGTACTATTGGCATGCCAAGATAGTTTTTTGAGATACTGCGACATGGTCGATCAAATTTTTCTCACAAATCAAGATAGGATCATGGTGTTGGTTGAACTGAACCATGAGTGGCATCTTAAAAGATGACATTTGTTGAAAGCATTTTGTCATGGCTCGGTGATTAGCTTGAGCTCCCAGAGGGAAACGGTGCAAGCTATCAAGCCTGAAGACCATCGCATTTTCCATTCGAGCTTGGGCCATCTTTCTCGCACCACCCGTCATCTTCTGAGCCCTTTTTTTTCGAGCGGTGGTCAAAAATTTTCACCCTTTGAAATAGACGAGTTGGCATATTCTTCCACTGCATTATGGTCATTGGCTAACTCTAAAAGTTCAACCAAAGTATCTGGTTTGCGTAAACCTAGGCAGTATTTAAATTGGAAACTTGTTAGCACCTGCGTTAGGGCGGTCTTTGCTACCACAGACTCTAGGTTTTACACTTCTGGCATCTCTCTTTGGAACAGAGTGATGTATGTCCAAAGGCTCTCATTTGGCCCTTATTTGATGTGTCATAAAGCCTCTGAGCCTTTCGGGGCTTTTGAGCACTAGTGAACTGAATCGTAAATAGCTTCTTGAACTCATGAAAGGAAGAGATAATTCCTATCGGGAGTCCACCAGACCTTTTGAGGATTGAATCTCTTAGTGAAGCGTAGAATAATTGACATTTAAAAGCATCACAAACTTTAAAAATCATATAACTCACTCAAGGAGGCAGTCCGATCAACTAGATCACTCCGACCTTTTGTAGGGCTCTAAACATGAAACCTTGAACTTCTCGGGAGACACTGCATCAATAATCTATTTAGAGAATGTGTCCCAATATTTGGTATACATAAGAAGCCCCACTTGTAGGATGCTCCGTGACTTGGACCCAATACTCTATTGGTATTGGGATTCTTCAACACGTTTAGCTTCATGGGTCATCTGATGGCCTTGGAGTTCAGGTGCTTGAGGATTTCGTTATGGAAGATCAGGTGCTCTCCCTTCAAGCACAATGCGGGTCAGTTTTGTCATCCATCCTGCTATTCGGTCTTGGTGTTCCTGAATTTATTTTTCCACAAATTCTCGAATGGAATCCTTGTTAGAAGTTTCCTTCAACCAGGTACTTTCTCAATAACAAACTGCTCTTCTTATTGAAGACATGACTTCATGCTCACCGCATCTTTTAGGATGTTGAATCTCAAAATGTCCTCTGGGTTACGACCAAGGAATAGAGCATTGTATGGATGTGAAGAGTATGAGAAAAAGAGAGAAAGAAGTAGAGCACCCAACAACACAAGTTTTTATGAAATAAACTTAGTAGTCTTCTCTTGAAGAAATGACCCCCCTATTTATAGATTACAGGGAGGTCTAGTAAGTTATATATTTGTCCCCATTTAAATAGGAATGTTACAAGTGATTAATATGTCATTACACCTTTACATATTTGTAATTGACTTTAGGATCTTTTAATAGTTGTAATATTCATTGGCATAATTTTGCATTCATAACTATTTGGAGCAGGGTATTAATAATCTGCAGATACTACATTTGGTTGAATGATAATCGATTGATCGACTAAAATTCCTTTGTCAGTTGAGAGTTCGTTGGTCGGGTAGCCTTTTTAAGGGAATCCTTCGTAAAAATCTTCTTATCCTTAGGATGAACTTAGGCATTCAGGAAAAAAGTGTGTCAACGTAATTTTACGTGTAGTTTTCCTTTCGAAAAAAGGTTTTCGTAGAGGGTTGAAAAGTTGTTCTATGGAGCGACCGTTGGTTCTCTCTACAAGGGATTTCAGAATTTGGTTAAGAGGGTTAAAAACACACGACTGTCCCTTAGATTAGAAACACAATATTTTTTTCGTTCAGATATTCTTTTTTTTGTTGGCCCACCCATGATCCGACCTTATGGATGATGCTTGACGCATCTGTACTTTGACTGTTTCGATGTAATCGTTTGGTATCCTCTTTGTGCATCTGTTGAATTTTCTCGAGATTAGTGTGATTTTATTTTCTATGTAAAATATATAAATTTAGCACTAATATGATATCTAAAATAATATGATCCTCGATGATAAGATATAAAAAACTTTTAAAAAATGTGGAGGAAGAAAGAGAAATTTCTTGATGTTTTATATCAGGTAGAGAAGTTTTAAGCTGAATTGCAGTGCGATTATCAATCTCACTTAGACCTAGGATTTGAGCAAGTCGAGTTTTTCATGGGGCGGGCCTATTTTGGCTTTGACTAGTCAAAGCAGTATCTAGCCGGGCTTAAGCCCAGATTCTTTTTATAATTTCATAGCTAGGCTTATCCACTAAATGGGTCAGGTCGACTCGCAGGCTGCCATGAGC